ACTTTTTCAGAACACCGGTAGATGGCAGCCATTACAGACGAACATGTGTTTGTTGTTTTCGAGGAGCAGCTCGGTCACGCACTAATGTCATTAGTTTGTTATCATTACTAAGGTGCAGGACTACTTCCCCCCCGTTTTCACATCATGTCTCCTGCCTGGATCTGTTATTATCTCGCTCTGAAGCATGGAGGAGTGTCAGAGGTGAGCTCGTTTCAACTGATTTTTACAACACGGTCTCATTTCCGGACTCAATAATTTTGTGAATGAAGCCAATATTTCAGTTAAAATACATAAGTAAAAATATTTATCCGAGTATAATACTACCCACCCCCCCAACTTTATGGATGATTTTATGGATTTAATTTTACGTATTATACTTGAATAAATATGGTAATTATTAGTGTTCAACCCTGTTGATCATGGTGCAAAGATGAGCACCAAAAACAAACAAAAACAGGTACTCAGTACATGTCACTTAGCTTCAGCAATACATTAATCTTTCTTTTTACTGCTGTCACATTTATTTTTAGCACTTGTTTTGACTTTTTTAACCTGCAGGTATAAACAAACAGGACCAGTCAATCGTTTGGACCCACCTTCCTGTTATTTTTTAGTTAATTGTTGTGCCTGAGGTTTTCTCAGTAATGTTGTCAACACAAAAGCCCAACCTGACTGCGAACATTTCTGAAGTAAGTGCCATAAGAGCATGTCATTCATTACGAGGTTGTTTTGGACACCTTCATGCCCTGAGCAATAAAACACGTCAAACTTTTACTGAGAAAATGGATTTCCAAGACCCTTAAAGCAGCGTGACATCACCTCATTTCCCAAAACTTTCACTGATTTATCCAACAAAGCTGAGTTTATTCCATGTTAAAGGATCAAAGATGGCTGGCATACACTATCAAATCCCATTTATAAAACACCTGCCTGGAAAATGTCATTTTAAGAGGTAAAGTTGAAATGAAAATACTTTGGGTAAAAAAGCCAAACAAAATGGATTTAATCAAACAGTAATAAAACAGGATTTGGTGCTTTCATGTGCAACCTTGGCAGATTAAACAAGCCTTGGCTGATGGGCATTTATAAAGATTAGCAAGTGTTCTTTGGAAAAACAAGTCAACAGCAGGAAAATCAGTTTAGGCATGTTAAAAAATACGATTTGTTATGAGTATGTAATGGTGGCATTTTTAGCAATATGAGAAAATTGGTCTTTTCAGTAAAACTCCACCTTCAGCAGTTCCCCTTGGCTCTTCGAGGAAAAATGAGGCGTCCTTCTTTTCCTCTGAATCGTCGATGTGATCGTACGTGATCTGTGGAATCGATACTGCTCTCTCTGAGGCCACGCCCATCGAACCGATGCCTTTGGACTTCAACCTTCTCTTGGTTCCCTTTTTCTAACAAACAAAAGAAACATCAAACCATTCATAAAGACAAACTGAACCATTTCTGTCATTTTGAAAAAAAAAATTTCATCAAAAGATTCCAAAGTAATATACAGTAACTGTCTGTAGGGAGAATATGTAAGAAGTCGATGTAAGATGATGTCATAACCATCCATCCATCCATTTTCTTCCACCTATCTGGGGTCAGGTCGCGGGGGCAGCAGCTACAGAAGGGA